TGTGGGTACCACTGCTTTATTCGACAAATTTACTGAGTATCTCTTAGGTTCCAGTCTCCTGTTCTCTGGTAGCTCACTGCTTAGAAAGGAATATAGGCAAGAGAACAGATCATTATAGCTAGAGTGACAGGTGATGTGATAGAGGAGAGCATAAATGACTTCACCCAGAGGAAGGAACGCCTAAACAATTGTTTAGTTGGACGTACAGATAAGTGAGTGAATGGATGAATGAATGAATGAGACGGGTGGATGGATGGTGGTTGGATGGGTGGATGGATGGACGAGTGGACTGTTTATCATGGTTAGGTGAGTGGATGGGTGGGTGGGTGGATGACGGAGGACCACAGCGCATGGCCCAGACCCCAAGCCGACCGAGAGCCGGGACCAGATGTGAGGGGTGGGTGTTTCGAAGGCCAGGAGCCCCCGCCTGAATGGGTCAGGGCCTGCAGCTGACACCACCCCCTTGTGCAGGTGGGGACGGAGTTCACCACCATCCTGTACAACTTCATGTGCAACAGCAGCTGTGTGGGGGGCATGAACCGCCGGCCCATCCTCATCATCATCACCCTGGAGACCCGGGAGTGAGTGCAGCACGCGGGGCCGGGGGCTTGGTGTGGGGACGGGGAGGCCAAGGGCAAGGAGTGGCGCCGCCCTGGGGGCAGCTTGGGGAGGGGCCCTGCGGGGGCTGCAGGGGGGGTGGGATCCGCCCAGCCGCAGGGGCTGCCGGAGCCGGGGCCGGGCCAGGGGCCGGGCCTTGGGAGGGACTGGGCACCCCGGAGCAGTCTGGGGTGGGCGGGAGGGGCCCGAAGCTCACGGTCCCTGCTGTGCCGCCCACAGTGGGCAGGTGCTGGGCCGCCGATCCTTCGAGGGTCGCATCTGCGCCTGTCCTGGCCGAGACCGCAAAGCCGACGAGGACCACTTCCGGGAGCAGCAGGCCCTGAACGAGAACGCCTCCAAGAACGGGGCAGCCAGCAAGCGCGGTGAGCGGGCCAGCCCGGGAGGGGAGAGCGGGCCGCCCGCAGGACGGAGCTGGACCCGCCTCGGGGCCTCAGGTGAAACGGTGCCCGGGGACCCTGTGGCCGGGGCACAGAGCCAGCCCCGCCCACGCCGCCAGCCCCTGGTCCAGGTCCAT